CAAAGATCTACATTGACAGCAACAACGATCCTGAGAAGTTCCTGAAAGAGAATGATCAGTATGACACTCTTGTTGTCGGAAAGTACTGCGAGAAGCGTGATCCAAATCTCGCCGCAATCTGTTATACCAAGGGCCAGAATGATCTCGAGTTGGTCAACATCACAAATGAGAATGCCATGTACAAAGCTCAAGCCCGTTACCTACTTGAGAGGGCCGACTCTGAGATTTGGGATTACGTACTGAGGTAAGTTCATTTATTGCTTCACATCAATAATGGAGCCTGGCTAACTTGCTACCAGTCCTAACAACATTCATCGTCGATCACTTGTTGATCAGGTCATCTCATCAGCGGTACCCTCTTCTACCGACCCAGACAAGGTTTCAGTTGCAGTGAAGGCTTTCATCACCGGTGACATGCCTGCCGAGCTGATTGAACTGCTGGAGAAGATTATCCTTGAGCCTTCAACTTTCAGCGACAACCCTTCCCTCCAGAACTTGCTGATGCTCACCGCTTGCAAGTCTGATCGTGGCAGGGTGATGAACTACATCCAGCAACTTGACCAATACACTCCCGAAGACATCGCACAACAGTGTATTGAGGTTGGCATGTATGATGAGGCTTTTGAGATCTACAAGAAGCACGAGAACCACGTCGAGGCCGCCAACGTTCTCATTGAGCACATTGTTAGCATCGATCGAGCACAAGAGTACGCCGACCGCGTCGACTTGCCCCAGGTATGGAGTAGAGTTGCAAAGGCACAACTCGATGGTCTCCGTGTCTCAGACTCGATTGAGTCTTACATTCGCGCCGAAGATCCGTCCAACTTTTTGGAAGTCATCGAAATCGCCACCCATGCTGGTAAAGACGAGGACTTGATCAAGTTCTTGAGGATGGCTCGTAAGACCCTCCGTGAAGTTCCCATCGATACAGCGTTGGCTTTTTGTTTCGCTCGCACAAACCAGCTGGCGGAGCTGGAGGACTTCCTCCGCGCTACCAACGTTGCCGATGCTGAAGCTTCGGGAGACAAGGCTTACGAGGAGGGCTACCATGAGGCTGCCAAGATCTTCTATACTAGCATCTCCAACTGGGCCAAGCTTGCCACTACTCTTGTCCACCTTGAGGACTACCAGGGTGCGGTTGAATGTGCCAGGAAGGCGAACTCGATCAAGACATGGAAGCAAGTCAACGAGGCCTGCGTGGCAAAGAAGGAGTTCCGTCTTGCCCAGATCTGTGGTCTCAACTTGATTGTTCATGCCGAAGAGCTAGCAGACCTCGTTAAGCAGTATGAGCGCAATGGCTACTTTGATGAGCTGATCAACCTTCTTGAGGCTGGTCTCGGCTTGGAGAGAGGTAAGCATTCCTAGTCAACTTTTCTATGAGACATACACTAATATCCTATAGCGCATATGGGAATGTATACCGCCCTCGGAGAGTCACTTGCCAAGTATAAGCCTGAGCAAGTCATGGAGACAATCCGTATACACTGGGGTATGTGTAGCTATCCAGCCTCACTATCGAATACATCTAACATGGTAATCATTTAGGCCGTATCAACATTCCCAAGATGATCCGTGCGGTAGAGGAGGCTCACCTCTGGCCCGAACTCGTGTTCTTGTACGTCCATTATGACGAATGGGACAATGGTACGACACCCCCACCCTGCATTCTGCACTTGCAAACATATTTAATGCTAACCTCTTCCAGCGGCGCTGGCAATGATGGAGAGGGCCCAAGATGCCTGGGAGCATCAGGCTTTCAAAGACACGATTGTCAAAGCCAGCAATGTCGAGATTTACTACCGGGCGCTAGGATTCTACCTGGAGCAACACCCCACTCTCTTGACCGACCTCCTACAAGCGCTTACTCCTCGAATCGACGTCAACCGTGTAGTCCGGATGTTCACCAAGTCTGACAACATTCCTCTGATCAAGCCTTTCCTTCTCAACGTCCAGTCACAAAACAAGCGTGAGGTGAACAATGCCCTCCACGAGCTTCTTATTGAGGAGGAAGACTACAAGACACTCCGCGATTCGGTCAACAACTACAATAACTACGACCCTGTCGACCTTGCACAGCGTCTGGAGAAGCACGATCTGGTATTCTTCCGGCAGATTGCGGCCGACATCTACCGCAAGAACAAGCGGTGGGAGAAGTCCATTGCACTGTCGAAACAAGACAAACTCTTCAAAGACGCCATCGAAACCGCCGCAACATCTGGCAAGTCAGAGGTTGTCGAGGACCTGCTTCGCTACGTAAGTCGATCTATGATGTTAGTAGGGTGCAATGCTGATTACTTGTATAGTTTGTCGACATTGGCAGCCGCGAATGCTATGTCGGTATGCTCTATGCCTGTTACGATCTTCTCCGACCAGACGTCATCCTCGAGATGTCGTGGCGCAATGGTCTTCACGACTTTACCATGGTATGTACCAGTCATTTGGTATTACATTACATATACTAACGTCTGGTAGCCATACATGATCAACCTCATTGCCCAACAGACAGCGACTCTTGAGGCGCTGAAGAAGGACAACGAGGAGCGCAAGGTTCGTGAAGCCTCGCAACAGAAGAAGGAAGAGGACACGCCAATCTTGGGTTCGCGTCTTATGCTCACGCAGGGCCCTATGGGTTCTGCCCCGTCTCCAGGTCCTTATGGACAGACGAATGGCATTGCACCACAGCCCACTGGAGGCTTCCGACCTTTCTAGGAATATGTAGCATGGCAGATATGATTTCTTTGGAATGCAGGGGTGGCCAGGGTCAATTTTGACTTATGTATCGGCATTTGGTGGGGCGTGCAAAAGCTCGCAATGGGTGCACCCATTCAAGCAGTATGGATGTATTTTAATGCAGATGACTATATGGTTCTATGATTTGTTTTGTTATGGATGGTGCTAATGCAATGCATGTATTGATTGAGTGGGAATATCTCGAGAAAAATGATTTTTGCTGCTAATGTGCAATTACGGCGATTCTTGTTATGTCAGATAGAAAATGCCCTGACTTTGTATATGTGCGACCCATAATGCTTGTTCTGGGAGATAGCACGACTATGTCATTTTTGTTTTGCATTTCTATTTTGCCAAACAACAATTTTATGACAATCGATATGTCCGGAATATCATCACCTTGCCCACCAATTTTTTACTTGACAAACTTCTCTTTATGTTGTCAAACGATGAGAAATATAATGTTGTGGAACACAAAACTCATCATACAGTGGTTTCGTACAAGCCTTGGGAGAAAGTAACCAACAGATCAATTGCAGAGTTCCTTAATCCGACTACATGTCTATAACGTTCATTAATGCATCGGAGATATTTACGATGCACCAAGGCACCGATGCGGTTGGAAGGATTTGTTACAGGGTACCATTTTGCAACCACGACCTAATCGTAAACCTAGACAATCCATTTTTTACTCCTAAAATATAGACCATCAGGCATGCCCCTGTGATATTCTCGCAATACTCACAATGATTTGCTACCTATTGTTAAGCGACACGCCACCCCCTGGAATTATTAGGCGCCAGAAGCAGTTAGTATGTTAGGCGACCACTGGCAATTGCTGATGCATCATCACCAATGCAAGGGACGACAACGTTGTGACTCGTAGGACGGAGACCGGATAGAAGTTAGCCGTAGTGTAGTACTATTTCCTTTTCATGAATATAAAGCGAACGTTGGACGTGACAAACTTGAATTCTGCCCCACATTTTCAGTACTCCCATTATATATCTGCCATACCATCGCATTACTTTAATATTCACCATGCGTTCTTATAACTACATGACCCTGTTCGCAGGCGCTGTTCTCGCGCAAGAAACTGCCACAGTCATAAACTTTTTCCAATTCGACAGCACACTCACTGTACTGGGCTCAGACGCAAAGGCAACTACATTCCAAAACTCCTGTCCCTCAGACGCCGCCGGCATCTCTGCAGTACCATCCGACTTGCGTATGTTAAAACTTCAATACCTCAAATCGTGAACTATATATCCTGATCCCACTACTAGTCCCAACTCCAGACGACGCATCGGCTACCCCCGCACCTACACCCGCGCCTCGCATGCGCCGACAAGCCAGTGCTTCTTCCTCCGACGACTACGTCTTCTGCGAGCCCTACACAATAATCCAAGGCTCCGAGACCTACGAATTCCACCTCACCGACCCCGTCCCCGGCGCATGGACCGTCGACATGAAATGCAGCTGGAAAGGCGAAATGACAAAAGCAGACCTGACCTGCGACGTCACTCAAAGCGGGCATATTCCTGCTCAAAGCGTCCAACTAGCGACTACAAGTGTGCTGTCTCAGAGTGAACTCCAGGAGATGGAAGCGTACCAGGTTGTGAGCTTGGTGAGCGGAAGCGGTGCCGCTTCGCCTGCTTCGGCTTCGGCTTCGGCTTCGGTGACGCCTACACCTACGGGTACTCCTTCGCGTACTCAGTCGGGTAGTGGTACAAATGCGCCGGCAAGCTCGGGATCGAATGCTGCGTCGACGCCAAGTCAGGGCTTTGCCGCTGCTGGGCCCCTGCCTACGGGTGCTATGAAGGTTGTCGGAGGTGCTGTTGGTGTTTTTGCTGTTGCAATGGCGCTGTAAGTAAGGTGTGGTTTTTGACTAAGTATGTGTTAGCTGTTGATGTTGTATACCCGTATAACTGTAATGTTCACCCCCTATTCTTTACATCCATCTCCTCGGAAATCTATGGTCACCATGTCTTTTCTTTAATCATCGTCATGCCGCGCCTTGCTTCAGTCGACAGTGAATGCGTATCCCACGCTTTGCACTGCCACGTAGTGACGCGAGGTTTCTGCCTCTGCCTTGGAGTTTTCACTTTCACTTGGAGATTATCTCGTGGCGACGCGCATTCTCGTTTGCTTCAGATTCCGCAGTGAACGGTTCATTATTCCCTATATAAGACTTGTGGTTTGCCCGACCTTCTCAACCTTCTGCACCGCCAGCCGAGAGTTGTACATTTCGATCTCGACAACAAGCAGCCATGGCAACCCCAAGCACTGGAGTGTCATCCGTGATCCCAGCCAGATCGAAGTTGCGACCCTCGACCCTCAGGCGCCATGCATCCGCACTGGCCGAAACGTCAGCAGAGACTCGGCCCACGGGTCAAGAAAACACCATGGTAGGTAACCCCCTGTCAGCCTTATCCAATTCTCTCCTGCCTATTCTCTACAAGACGAGCGTCTTCTTAGGGAGATTGCCGTGACGCAAGCGCTCAGAAGCCCTCGAAGAGGCAAACAAGCAGCTCGAAGCGGCCAACAAAAAGTTCAAAGACCGCGAGCACACCATTTCAGCGCTCGAAAAATGCAACGCGTCACTCAAGACCCAAGGTGACACCTCCTCGGCCCTAACCACCTCCCTCGCCTCCTGCCTCCAGGAAACAACCACAAGCCTCGACGAGGCCAACCAAAAACTCGACAACGCAATCACCAAGCGCGACAATCTCGCCTCCCAACTCCAAGAAGCAAGGGCAAACATGACGAAGCTCCGGCGCAGCGACCGCACCAAAGAGAAGACGCAACAGCAGAACCTCGACCTCAAAGCTCTTCTGCACCATCAATCCGCCAGATACAACAACAACATCATCATCTCCTCTCTAAAAACAACAAAACCGCCTTGTCGAAATGCAGCACGACCACCGCCGCTCACAACCAAGACATGTTGCAATCCGCGCTTTCGGCAGCTATGCGGCGTATCGATGCGCTCGAGACAAGTGGGGCGGGCGTTGCTTGATGCGCTGGAGGAAGCAGGGTGGGTGATAGTAGCAGCAGTGGCGACGAAGACGAAGACGAAGACGAAGACGAAGACGACGAGGCAGAGTGCAATGACAAAGAAGCAAAAAGTGGAAAAAGTTACTCGAAGCCCAAGTGAAGCTAGATGCAGTGTTGAGGGATAAAGGTGTTTGCGGTGAAGATGGGAGAGAGACGTGGTGGAATTTGCGGAAGGAATAGAATTCTTGGTGGTTGGGGATGATGGGTGTGGTATGAGGGGAGGGGAGAAGAGATGGATGGATTTGGGGGGGGGGGGGTATTGAGGGTGGTGGTGGTGGTGGTGGTGGTGGAGGATTCGACCCAGTGGTGTCTTCGATACTCGCTGCGAGTTGGGATGAAGCACTTATGTGCACCGTTGGGCGGAGCGATACTCGATGTTCATATTGTCCGAAACTCACACTGGACAATTTCCCTTGGGCCTTGGGGAACTTCTATCTTACAATATATCATGACTCTTTTTTTTTCAGAAATGATCCGGAAAATACTCAAAAAGGCATGAGGAGCGTTTTTTTTTTGGATTATTGTTCTAGGGAAGTATGCATGGTCATGAACCCCACCCCCATACAATGACTTCAAGAATTTACCGACTTTTTTGCACGCATAGGGAACTCTAACACACACAAAAAAGGGAAGTTGATTAGAATCTCAAACTTTTTTTTTCGAATGATAAAAAATCAAAAATCTACGTTACGATAATGGCCAATCTGCTTTTATTGCCCCCCCACTTAGAAAAATAAAGTGGGATGGGCAAGTTTGCAAGAAAGATAAAGTTGACGTGAAAGGGGGGGGGGGGTAAATGGGTCTTCTCCGTATACATGACTACTAACACTACGAATGGGTATATAAGACGGAAGATGTGGGAGGAGGACAAGGCGGCGAACATCTTTCAGAGTTGTCCACTTTTTAACATGGTCGAGATGGGTGTTGAAAAACCAGTCTGGAACTGTTCATGTGGGTGTGCAAATAGGGACAGATGAGCAAATAAACCAAAAAATTGGAGAATAAGCGGAGACCAATGCCGCGATTTGAAAATTACAATCATGCTAGTAGGCAATATATGGAGCAAGGGGGGGTCAAGGGAGGGGGTATCTCTTGCGCATACGCGCGCTCATTCGTACTTGTGCAGTTTTTGCTACAGCCAGCTTCAGTTTGGCCCTGTAGATTGCGATCCGTGTACATGGGGATTGCCAGGTATGTTTGGTACGCCTGACACGCCATCATCGAGCAAACCGCTCATGTCGTGCCAATTCCAGTCATTCATGTTGTTGATGGTAAAGTCCATAAAATGCTGTTGCGTGTTGCGATCATAGCGGCCAGTGGGATGAATGGCCGGACCGACGTACGATTGATCTGGATAACCGCGGCTCTGCATGTCATCTGCAAACATGTACGTGCCAGCCGCAGGGGGTGATTGGTGGTACATGTGCGGCACGGCAGGTGGCTGCGTCAGTGGCTGAGTTGGGAGTGTGGGTTGTGGTGGAGGCTCGTGAGACTCTGCTTTTGGTTCGGAGATTCGGACGGGCGAAGCTAGCGAGTCGGCCATGGAGTGCAGTTCGGGGACGAGGGAAGCAAATTTCTCCAGTGTGCCAGGCATGTATGGGTTCCGGCGGTGCCGTTGGGCGAGGTCGGCAAGCTGAGAAAGGAGGATGCGAGATTCAGACATGTCGGTACCCTCGAGTTTGTTTAGACAAACCAGGTCTAGAACTAGTACTGAGCTTGAAGCTAGCATGTACCAAATGTCGAAATTGACAACGGCATCAAACTTTGCAAGATGATCGGACTTGAGCAGCAACTGGGCCAGGTCGCGGCCGGATTCCGAACAGGCGTCAGCCATTGCTATCAGAGCTGGATTGGCCGAGTCAGTGCCGGTTTTGGACAGAGTGGAAGCTCGGGCAAGGAGTGCTGAGCGACACAGAACAATCATGGTGTAGTGATACAGACCGTGCATCATGATCAGAGTCCGTTGGCAAGGGGGCGGGGTAGCGTCAATGGCTTCTGGTTGCAAATGCTGTGGGAGCGTCTCCTTCCACCGGCTCAGGTCGCGCAGGGCAGATGCGGCGGGAGACAGGGGTCCAACGTACGCCTCGTCGCTCGAGTTTGGTTTGAGTGTCCTGGGCGCGCGACATACAGTGCCCAAGAGGGCCCACATGCGACAATAGGCGGCCATGAGGCCAGGGGGGCAGTTCATGATCTTGTCACTGGGGTAGCGGAGCTTTCCACCGGCGACTTCGATTGCGCTGGGGCGGTCGTAGGAGGATACCTGCATGTTCTCAAAGCCGTATAGGGCCCACCACAGCATCCTGCGTGTATCCCTGGCGAGTGGCGTGCTGCCTGCGCTCACGCTGTCCTGGTGCAGGCCAATGGCGTGGGCTATGCGGATGGCGGCGCCCGTCAGGTTCCAGCAGGCGTCGCGGTGGTTGGTGTTGTGCAGGTGGGCGGCAGCGAGGATCAGGGCCTGGACAGCCGTGACGCTCGAGGTGAAGATGACGCCTGGGAGCAGCTTCTGGACGCGGTGCCACCACAACCGCTCCTGGTCCTCGGCAAAGGGGACGCGGGCAACACGGCGGGCGAGCAGCAGCATGCAGGTGAAGGTGCATAGCCAGGCGGGGTCTGCATTGCGGGGGTCTGCGAGCCAGGCATCGTAGGCCTCGCGGAATGAGGGCTCATGCAGCACGGGGATATCTTGGTGGATGCGGTCGAAGAAGGTGCGGATGAGCAGCTCGAGGGTCGGGCGCTGGTTCGGGGCGAGGTGAGCGGCGGCGGCGGTGGCGGGGTCGAGGGAGCCGGGCGTGTTGGTCAGGGCGTGGTGGTGGTGTTGGTGTTGGTGATGATGTTGGAGATGGTCGCTGGCATCGGGCGACGTCGAGGCGGCATTCTTGCCAAAGAGGACAAACTCGCGCAAAGGTCCACGGCCGACGAGGGTACGCAGCTTGAGATGAAAGGCAAAGGAGCTGGCGGGCCCAATGTACTGCACCTGGCCCTGCTGGTCCGGCAGCAGCGAGACGGTGTCGTCGCCGTCCGGGTCGGCAGCATCGTCGTGGTCGGCATCGCCCTGAGCGGCTACAGATTCTGGGAGGGGGATGCCGTGCGAGGTAGCGAGCTGGCGCAGGGCGTCGGTGCTGGAGACATCGGCCTCTGGCAGCAGGCCCTTGACGAGGGCCTCGAGCAGCGCCAGGCGGGTGCCGAGGCCCTCAACGCTGCCATACAGGCGCTTCTTGCGAGGCTGCGTGGTAAGACACTCAATGTTGTGTACCATGCAGTACCTGCACGCGTCCTGGCCGGGCTCCTTGCGGCATTTCTGCTTGCGCGACTTGCACTTGTCGCAACTCGTCTCGGTGCGCTTGCGTTTGTCGAGCGGGACTCGGCGCGAGTTTGTTGTCGGCGCGGGCGTCGAGGAGGACATGGGGGCGGGCGGGATTCACGACGCAGGGAGAAGAAGAAGCATGGTGGTCGTGGTGGTCGTGTGCACGTCTCGACCACGCTGCCCACTCGTCCAAAACTGCCGCTGCCAGTGCGAGATGCGAAAGCGATTGCGCCGAACTTTTCAATCGTAGTGCAGGGACTCGGTGTCGCGGCCAGCCCGCCAGCCCGCCAGCCCGCTATGCTGCGTCTTCCCGGTCCGTCGGGAATTCGCCCACTAACAATAGTACACCACTACCACTACTACTAGGTGTACCACCACCACCTCCACCACCTCCACCACCTCCACCACTTCCCGTACACTACTACCACCTCCTCCTCCACCATCGTCTCCCTGCCCGTGGGCCCTGCCTGCCCCGCCGCCTCCGCCGCCTGCCACTGTGCGCCCTGCCGCCCTGCCGCCTTGCCTTGCCTTGCCTTGCCTTGCTGCTTCGCCTCACATCGCCGATGCATGTATGAATTGTGTCGATACACGTCGACAACCACTGGCACGCCAGCTCACTCCCAGTCTACGTGCGGCTCGGAGGCATGCTTTGGGCCTGGCTGCGCCACCGTTTGATGATGCGGGGAACTCGGATGCCAACCGACAACGAGTGCTACCGCTAGCAGCCTACACTACTCCAGTCCTACTACGCCTGCCATATGTCCCGAGTAAGTAGTAGTATCCACTAAGAACCCTCCTGGCGCATATGACTCGGCCCTGCTCTCCTGCACGATCGATTGCGCCTCCCATGACTCAGCCTATCGCCGCTGCATCCCCCCTCCCAGCTCCCCCAATCACTTCTGCATCCGTCCACCATCTCTCTACCCAGATGTTCCCGTTGCGAGGCACACGCCGCCATTCCCCGCACGGCCTAGCAGCGGCATCTTCCGTCTACCATCACCACCATCGCTATTCTTACCCTTGTGGGCAACACCATTCGCCGACCTTGATTTCTGCCACCCTGCATCCTAACTACACACCTGCCGCCTTCTAGAGCACGCCAAACCCCTCTTCACCCAGCAACAAGTTAAAAATAAAAAACAAATAAAAGACGTACAGCCTCTACTAGCCGTGTTTCGGACCACGAATTGTGTACCAACACCACAACAGAACCCTTTTTGCCCCCTTCGACCTGCATCCTCCGTGCTGCCCACCACCGCCGCTCTACGTTTTGCTAGTGCCCCTTCAGGCACCTGCAGCTACCCTACCAGCTGGTTTCAGAGCCCCAAGCATCAGGGTCCGACCATTGCCGCTAGCCGACGCCAGTTTCAAGTCGTCGGTAGGCCTTAAAACCCGTGTACCGTATCAATGGCTACACTGCACGGTATTTCGGGGATCTGTTGTCTAGAGATCGTCGGCTGGTCTAGAGTCTGGACCATGTTCAGATACCAAAGGCCCGAAAAGACCCACCCGAATCCTTCCTCATGTCCCGGTACTGCTTCCGCGTGCCGCGCAAACTCGAAAAGCCCTCTCTGCCTGTCATCCATGCCTCCATCATACTCTCCCAGCCCAGCCATATGCACTTCTGCTGACACGTTTCTATGCCACGGCATCTTCTTCCCTCAAAGCACGATCCGCACCCACCCACTTGATTCCATGCTCCCCTGGCCGCCGCGCTTGTATCTTGCGCCATCGGCTTGGTAATCCTGCTCCCGATTCGGGGCATGCCGACTAGCACAACGTCATTCCCACGGCCTTCACGGCTCACTTTACCCTTTCCAG